AAACATTTACTGATGAAGATCAAAGAGCACAGCCTTCAGTATGGATTACATCTCAATGTAAAGAAAACAAAAATCCTCACCACTGGAACAATAAAAAACATTCTTATCAACAGAAAAGATTAAAGTTGTCAAGGGCTTCATTCTTCTTGGATCAACTATCAACACTCATGGAACAACAGTCAAGAAATCAGACGACGTATTGTATTAGGCAGATCTGCACAAGAAATTTTTAAAGTGTTGAAGAGCAAAGATATCAGCTTGAGGACTAAGTGCGCCTGACCCAAGCCATGGTATTTTCATAACCTCATATGCATGTGAAAGCTGGACAGTGAGTAAGGAAGACCGTAGAAGAATTGATGTTTTGAGTTATAGTGTTGGAGGAGAATATTAAAAGTGCCATGGGCTGCCAAAAGAACCAACAGATCCATTTTGGAAGAAGTGCAGCCACAGTGCTCCTTAGAGGCCAAGATTCGTCTCTCATACTTTGGACGTATGGTCAGAAGGGAACAGTTGCTGGAGTAAGTATATCATGTTTGGTAAGATGGTGGGTCAGAGAAAAAGAGGAAGACCCCCAACGAGATGGATTGGCCAGGTGGCAGCATCAATGGACTCAAATGTGGCAACAATAGTGAGGTTGGCCCAGGATCCGACATTGTTTCGTTCTGCTGTGCATAAGGTTGCTATGAGTCGGTGCCAACTCAATGGCCCCTAACAACGACAACAAATTTAGAGATCATCTCAAGAATAGAGTTAATGCATTTGGTATCAGTGACTAAAAAACAGAAAAAGTTGTGGGATGGCATCAAAAACATCAAACATGAAGAAAGCAAAAAGTCTTTTAAAATACAGGAAAGAAAGAAAAAACCAAAATGGATGTTAAAAGAGATTCTTAAATTTGCACTTGAACCTTGAGAAGCTAAGTGGCTGGAAGACATTATAAGTAAAAGAGCTGAGTAGTAAACTTCAAAGAGGGTAAAGTATTATAATGAATTATACAAAAAACTGAAGTTACAAAACCAAAAGGGAAGAACACAATCAGCATTTCTCAAGGTGAAGAAAACATTGAGTTCTCGACTTGGCAATATTACATGATTTGATGTACAAAATATTGAATGATGCAAAAGTATCAAAACAAAAGTGGAAGACATACACGGTCATTGTACTGAAATGAAATGGTTGGTGATCAAGAACCAAAGGTAGTGAAAGAAAAATCCAAGGTATGCTGAAGGCATTGGCAAAGAACAAGTCTCCGGGAATTGATCAAGTTCAAATGGAAATCTTCCAACAGACTGATGCAGCACTGAGGGCCCTCAGTCATGTGTGCCAAGAAATATGGTAGACAGCTACTTGGCCAACTGTTTGGAAGATATTCATGTTAGTGCCCGTTCCAAAGAAAGGTGACACAGTGAAATGTGGAAGTCATCATTTTTATTGTTACTAAGTACTGTCGAGTCAGTTTTGACCTATAGCGACTCTGTATAGGGTTTCCAAGGAGCAGCTGGTGAGCTTGAACCACCAACCTTGCAGTTCAAATGACTTTGCAGTCTGATGCATTAACCCACAGCACCACACAGGACTCTGGAAATCATCATACAATATTATTAATATGATATGCAAGTAAAATTTGCTAAAGTCAATTCAAAAACAACTGCAACAGTACATGACAGGGAACTTCCAGAGGTTCAAGGTGGATTCAGACAAAGACAAGGGGGTATCATTGCTGACGTCAGATGGATGTGGGCTGAGAATAGCAGAAAGATGTTTACCTGAGCTTTATTGACTATGCGGATCATGCCAAGCTTTGGTTAACATTACAAAGTATGCGTATTCCAGAATATTTTATTATGCTCATGAGGAATCTGTACATGGACCAGGAGACAGTCGTTTAAACAGAACAGGGAGACATGGTTTAAAATCAAGAAAGGTGTGAGCTAGGGTTGTATTCTTCCACTATACTTACTCAATCTGTATACTAAGCAATAATCTGAAAAGTTAGATTATATGAAAAAGAACATGGCATCAGAAATGAAGAAAGACTCATTAACAACCTGTGGTATGCAGATGATACAATCTTCCTTTCTGAAAGTGAAGAAAACTAAAAATGCTTACTGATGAAGATGGATTATGATGTTGATGAAAGGTATTGGAAGTATCATGGACTGTCAGAACAAACTAATCTGTCTTGGAAGAAGTACAGCCAGAATAGAATGCTCCTTAGAAAATGGAAGATCAGCAAAAAAAAGGAATACTCTCAACAAGGTGGATTGACACACGACAACAGTGAGTCAGACACAACTATAATTGTCAGTAAGGGGCAAGACTGGGCAGTGTTTTCATTTCTTTTGTACACGGGGTCGCCATGAGCTGGAACCCGCTGGACAGCACCTGACAACATGAGTGCTTTGCAACTAGATCAAGTGACTTTGTGTTTCCACTAGTAAGAAGTGGTGGTGGTTATGTGTCTTCAAGTCAGTTCTAATTCCTACGTTTTCTGAGGCTGTAAATCATCTTCCTCCCACATAGTAGCTGGTGGGTTTGAACTATTGTCCTTGTGGTTAACAGTCCACCACGTAACCCTCTACGCTACCAAGCCTCCATAGATCCATAAAATAAAAGCTTTGCTAATTCCATTGAAAAGAATTATCCTAAATTTTCAAAGATATCAATAAAAAACATGTTAACAATGGTGTATTTTCTCCCAGTCCCCTGCTGGCTAATTAATACTTTTAATTTAATAAGTGAATTATTTTTAGTGAAGAAGTAGTTCTAAACTATAATTTTATCTATTCTTTTGCTCTTCTTTGACTAGACAATTACAGAAATTACCATGAGGAACTAGTATTTGTGCTTGGTGACCCTTCCTTTACGAACTCTTGTTTCCTTTCTCTTCTTCTTGTAGACCAAGGTCACTCTTCAGTATGTGAAACAGCAGTACTTTGGAGGCAGTGTAGAGGCAGGCCTTGTGGTGGGAAAGAGTAGTAGGAAACCAGGTAGACTGTTTCCATAGCTTAGCATAGTGTAATAATAATAATAGCAGAGATGAAAAGGTAGGAACAGAAGGGATCTTCCCAGAAAGCAGGTTTTACTTTATCATTTGCCATTTCCTTTCAAATTGTATTATTAATTGCATATTGTTGTTCCTGTATCGTTTTATATCTATCTCTGGTTTTACCCAAAAGCCTGTTATGTCTTTCAGGATTGTGTTTGCTGATTTCTTCATAATGAATCTGATTCTTTGGGGAGAAGGATCGTCAGCAGCTATTCCTTTTGGAACGCTAGTTGCAATACTGGGTCTTTGGTTCTGCATATCTGTGCCTCTAACGTTTATTGGTGCATACTTTGGTTTTAAGAAGAATGTAAGTTTATAGGTGTTAAATTATTCAACTGAATCTCATTTTAAAGTATAAAAATGCCTAAAAGGTAAACACTTAGCCTCTGGGTTTTGAATTTAATAGATAATTGATTGATTCTTATTTTGATTGCAGTCATTATTAAAATAGTATTCTGTAGAGTGTGACGAAGCAATTACAGATACAAGCTTAGATTTTAAAGTATTTTAAGCAACTGGAAACTAATGTAGATTAATTGTAAAGAAGATAATTTTTGGTCTTTCTTTATGCTGCCCACTTCTATCATCAGAGTAAGAGGAAAATGAGAATTTATTTTCTTGTCTCAACAGTGTCTTTAGCTTACTCACTTCACTGTCTTTGACTCTTTTAAAAATATCATATCAACAAGGTTAAAGAAAACAGCTTTTATTGTAAACTTTGTGTTGGCAGAAACTATTATTGCTTCATAATCTTTATTGTACCCACCATATCAACTATGAAATGAGTTTTTGAATTCTTTGGAGTGTGTTTAATGTGTGATTTTAAATTTATATAATCATAAATAGTAAACTGACAAGAGTTTGAAAATATTTAAATTATATAATCAGATATTTGCAATTCCAAAAATTTGCCTGTTAAGAACAGAAAACTACAGAATGATAGGAATAATCCTATATACAGGTAAAATAATCCAGTCCATGGCAATATGATAACAAAATAATCAAGTTTCAATTTTTATCACCACAAATTATATTGTGTTGGTTAGTGTGGTCAAGTCATTTTCAACTCATAGCGACCCTGAATAGGATTTTCAAGGCTGTATCTTTATAGGAGCAGAAAGCCCCATCTTGCTTCTGCAGAGCAGCTGGTGAGCTCAAACCTCCAATCTGTGGTGAACACTCTGGTGCCTATCCTACAGAGCCACCGTGCAGGGAAACTAGTTTCCATGTTCAAATGTTTTCCTTCCTTTAACTATGTTTAGGTTCAAAGAACCATAGCTTTTGAGTCCCTTCTGTCTCCTGCTGACC